TATAGCACACTATCATGTGTTCCTCCTTTTGGTTTTCATAGGAACAATTTGAAAGGGTGGAAGTTTTGATATTTGATATTTAGCTTTCGCAACTTACATTGTTCAAAACTCAGGTCCATCCAAACCTGAAACCAAGATCACATCTTTTAAATCTCACATCTTACTTTATTTGTTTTTAGTGTGTATCCACACTATCTTTATTAATTTTACAACGTTAGTCCTTGGTTCTCGTAACATACGGTGCTCTCGGTCCCGATATCAGCGCAAGGAATGGAGCAATTTGCTGATTTCAAGGGACAACTCATTCAACCAATACTTCAGGCCCTCGAGGTGCGCATGATTACACGCGATTGTACCGGCATTGAACCGGACCAGCAGGTATCTGTTTATAGTCAAATTGCCATATGTTTTTCGGCCCTGCCTTGTGGGATGCAGCAGGCAGAGACCTCATTCCTGCCTGCACAACTTACCGCTAGCGATTGATTCGCTCAGCGGACAAATATTACTCACTGAATAGATTTCTACATCAGACGAACTCTCAGTCACAACGGGGACTGATCAGATAATGCCGCTAGGACACAGCGTATTGTACAGACATGTTCACCGAGTTCATCTCGCTTTTACCTATACAGTTCCTAGGGTGCATCCTTCTTCAAATGGTAAAAAGTCACAGTAACGGACACCGACATGGAAGTGGTCGACTTCGCGTCCTTCCTGAAGAACGCCGTTGGAGCCCCAACTGATGTGGACGCTATCAGCACACTCCAGTCGTCAACGGCCAACCTCACAGATGAGCAGGCCGCGAAAGATGAGCTTGCGATAGGAGCAGCTCTCGAGTCAGCTCTTCAGACGGGAACTATACGCAACCGCCACACTCCCGTGCAACCCTGAAGAGGGAGCACAAGTCGTCAAGATACTACATTTTGCTGGTCATCGAGGAGGCAGCCTAGTAATACAACTGCTAGCACTGGTTACTGACTCGGGAGCACGCAAGCTTACTTACTAAACATCTATACACCCCAAATCTGGGGAATTAGTCTTCAAAGGTCTATAGCACGATGCCGATGAATTTGGTCACTTTGTGCGTGAGATATTTAGGGATACCCTTTGTGCACCCTCTATGGTTGCCATATACGAGATGAATGGGCTTTCTAGCGTCCTTGATTGGGCGCCTGGTGATTATAAGAGCTGGTTCCGTATTCTCCTTGTAAACGGTCCCTCTCATATCTGCTGATGAGGTTCGCCAACGATCAGCAGTCCCCTCGACAACCGTTTTAGCGATTTCGCAGACCAGCGTGAACCAGGCCTTAGCGATGGATTCACCCGGCGACAGCGTCATCAAGCCCACATCCAGCACAGTCAACGCCAGCATGATACTAACCATCACCAAGACAGCAGCGATCAAACACGCCGTGATCAGAGCGATATAGATCGCACACGCAACGACGAACCACGTAAACGGTCACGCTCACCCAAACCCAGTGATACCACACCACTGTCAGTTACCCAAGCCCCTGTGTCCGCCACGTCTGCAACATCCGCATTAGCATATAAGCCAGTTGTCAAGAAGAAGAGTACACGGCATGCTTTGACTGTGGCAAGCAAGGCCACACCGTCAAGGATTGCCCTAACGCCAGGAAGGCTCCTGTTGCCGCACCCGCAACAGCACCTGAGAAATCAGGAAAGCCTGGCCTCTGATATGGACTGATTGTCCAAGGGGAAGTACAGGATCGTGAGATCCTGGTGTATATGGATGTAGGGTCTGCATTTAACTTATTAATCAAAATACGGCAAAGAAACTTTTGCTTACTTGTATACCATACATTGGATCATCAATTAATGACATCGAAGGGGTTAGCATTATTTTTCCTATCTCGCAAATACGCCTAGCAGCTGATGTCGACAGACAGCATATATGAATTTGTTTCCACCGGCGAACAAATGTGGCTATTCTTTTACAAAAGAAGTAGCATACCAGACCCACCTGCTCATTATGTATGATGTACAGAGCTCCTGGGCACGTGGGGGCACAAGCAACGCAAACGTAAGACTGTACACATCCACGTTAATGCAGTGAGAGGCAGCCCAACCCTTTGCTTACAACTAACCTGGTGTAGTGCTGTAATTCTCACTTGACTCGGCAAAGATACTTGCCCGCCAGGCACGACGAACCAGGCAGCGCAAGTGTAAGATATTGATTTTACCCAGGTCCCAGTCGCGAGTGCAGCCGCGGGTCGTACAGTAGCTCAGCAGCCACTGTCACCTCGCAAAGCCCGACACCGTTCCAATGACGTCTGCGGCTACAAAACTCGCTTGAATATAACAGCCCCCTGTGCCTTAGCGCCCGAAGCCACTGTCCCACAGATGATATCTGACATGTATCTACCCAGCCGGCCAGATATCCTTCACAACATTGATGTGGTCCTGGATGAAGTGGATGGATGCGTGTCTGACAATGATTCAGGTTACGATTCAGACGAAGAGGAAGGCTTCGGTGTGACGGGATTTCGCAATCTCGGCACGACAATCAATAAGACGACGCAAGAAGTCGTCGACGCCATCAACTTATTTCATGTATGTACCGACGACCCTGAGAACCATCGGTTCATTATGCTTGCACCCCTTCAATTCACAATTAAGAAGAGTACTTAACCCAAGCGATGTGGTCACAAGCCGTGCACCAACCTTGAAACTCTGAAGATGCTCGCCGCATATTTGAAGATTCTCCAACTGATTCGCCGAGGTATTATTCGCAAGGAACCGGACGCAACTAACCGATGGCAAGCGAACGTCAAGACGGCATGAAAGAAGCCCGGAAGGAAGCCCCGTCCTTTGCCAGAGGGCTTTGATTATTAGCGCTTTTGCACCGACTTCGACCGATGAAAGAAAGCCATCGTCTCCGAACCATTCCCCATCCCTACTAAAACCAAGATGTACGAGTTCGTGGTTGGCAAACCCTGGGTATCCGTTCTGGACTGCGGGAATGGTTTTAACCAATCTCGCGTATAAAGTAAGGCAGATAAAATCCGCACATTCACCACCCCGTGTGGCCGATACTCCTATCCCATAATGGCCATTGGAACACGGAGGCCTCCTGGAGGTTCCAGGAGACGTTAACTGAAGTGTTTGATTCCATCAGCCATGTCATTTGGTATATTAATGACATCGTGATAGCCACAGACACTGCCGAGGGACACTGCGACATGTTACTCCCCGTTCTTCAGAGATGCCGCCAGTACGACATACAACCTGGCCTCCAGATGTCAGATTGCGTTCTTCCGACGCGCAGTCGCCATTCTGGGGTGAAGTGTTGACTTCCGCGGTGTATCTGTATCTGATAGGCGCTTGGAAGCGCTCATCGACCTATCCCACTCCACTGATCTAGATCTCACAAAGTTGTGGTACCACACGGTTGCATACTGGAAAGAGTATGTACATGGGTTCTTCACGATACTGGCTCCGATCTTCGCCCTGTTCAAGAAATACACTACCTTAGACAGCGTTCGACACATTAAATGCCCGGCTAGCTACACGCGCTGTCCTCACTGAACCCCTCGCTCACGAGCAACTAGTGTTGTACTTCGATGCATGTGAGTATATTGGGGTTGGCGGGTGCCTGTATGTGCGGCGTGATGAACAGCTATAGCCCATAGCCTATTTCCCCGCACGGTTTTCATCTGCCCAAGACAAATATCACGTGACGGACAAGTAGCGACTGGCAGGCATCTTCGGCATTAAGCGATACGGGCGAATCATCAAGCGTTCGACACTGCTGCACACTGACCACACCAGGCCCTCCTCATGTTATGGGTCCTATATATATTTGAAGACAATACCCGTGGCAGGCGCTATCTACGGTGGCACGGAAGTCTGCCGTGACTTCTACATTGTAAATTTCCCTGTCAGATGGAAAGACAAAGGAACAGCGGACATGTTCTTCCGCCTGATGAATGTGAAGAGCAAGGAAACGGGCTCGCCGGGTCCATTGGACGATCCCACTTGCCCAGGAAATTGGAATCATTGAATATACGTTAACCGCTAAACATTTCAGACAAACTGACCGGGTTCATGGACCACAGGAGTCAGATGGATTCGCCTGCCCAAGGAATCAGCAGATGACCCCTTTTGCACTCGCACGCCCGGCGGTGCGAGCTTCGCCCTGTCATTGGCCTTCCTCGATCTCTTGTGGAGCCCTCATTATTATGACTTAGAGAGGGTATTTCTCCAAGTAGTTGCGGACATAGCTCGTGGCATCACGGGTTGTTGCCCTTTCATGCCACAGGTTGATTGGTTTGCCATCATGCCCAACTATCTTCTTGCGGTTTTAATCGTCTTTTCCCCAGCCACTGCAGGCTTTCTCCGTCATAGATACTATCTATGCCCTCTCCGTAAGTCGCAACGCTCATCCCCCGGATTGGCTAAACGTCGGAACCGTTTATTTGCCCGCCCGGCATCTGGGACTCAGTTGCACATATATCACACGCAAAGCACCCTACTACATCCTCCGTACCACGAGCGAGTAAGTTCACCACGTCCACGGTGTGGCCTGTGCAAACGTTCACTGACACCTTCGAGACGCTTGAACTTGCACTTCCGATTTCTCTCGACTCGCTGAGCCCCCCGACCCTGCGGTCATCATTTTGAGACATTTCACCACGTCCACGGTGTGGCCTGTGCAAACGTTCACTGACACCTTCGAGACGCTTGAGCTGACACTTCCGATTCCTCCCGACCCGCTGAGCCCCCCCGACCCTGCGGCCATCATTTTGAGACATTTTATCTAACGCTATGGCGAGCCTGAGGCCATTGGTGGCCCCACCGATGCTGCTTAGCTCAAGAGGTGTGGACATTTCCGCGCTTCTGATTCGCACGAATTTCCCCACCAGCGATGAGTGGTCCACCACATCCATCCCCCCTGTCACTCCACAAACTCCGGCCGACTGTTGATATGACAAGGTTGCAGCTATGGTCGGCGATGTTCCCCGCACATACTGTGGGCAGACGATGAAGTGGCCGCATGTTCACTTGATCGTGGAAATTGTACATGAAGTGTATATGCATACCGGCGCACCTAAGATCGAGCACGATATGTGCTTCTTTTATGGTTGGACCGGTTTGCTCATAGTCTTTCGCGCGGTACTCAAAGACTGTGTTCGTCTCCAGACCTTCGCAGGAACGCAGACTGCTACTGCACAGCATCCCGTTCGCACCCAAGTTCTCTTCGGCCACATGCCTGCAGAATTTGCTGATCCTCCTCGCCGTCTGCAAGACCACGGGGAGGATTTTCGTCCACCCTACAAGTGCCAAGTCTGGCTCCGCATGTATTAACTTCGTGTGTGAACAATTATTTCATTGGGGTTCCCTCACCGTATTCACTGCGACAATGACTCCGTCTTCATCTCGGGTCGCATTCACCAACTTCTGTGCTCATGAAGAGATCATTCCCCACCTCGTCACAGTCGACCGCCTCCAGGGTAGTGAACGTGCAGAAGTCATGATTAAGATACTGAAAACTTATATATATATATATCTATATATCCAAGATGCCGATTGACCAAGTCTCGTGGGTTCATCTAGTACATGCGTGTGCACAGATTTACAACGCCCTTGTCTTCTCTGTTACAGACGAGACACCTAACACCCGTCTTTACCAGGGTCCGCAGCTGCCTATGCTCGAGGACAGGGTTGCCCTAATGCTTGAGTCCAAAGCTGGGGCGTCGGGCATGGTTGCCCTTGATTTCAGCAAAGCCATGGCCCGTTACGAACTGGCTTCATAGAATGCCGCAGCTGGCAGTTCTCGCCTTTAAGTTCCCTACTTACGTGAGAGACAGCAAGTCATGCATATAACGTTCCCCACAGTGCCTGGTTGCCCAGTCCGAGAGCGTCCTTTCACTGTGATGGCGGTCGCTGAATATCGCCGCCGCATCATCCGCCACAGGGCACAACCCAAGAAGTCCTACCCCCGTATCGTCGCTGGCCACCATGTTGTGACCCTCTAGCCCAAAGGCATGTTCGAGCAATGGCTCCTCCGCGAGTCACCACTCGCCTTCGCATCAGCCACCGAGCAGCAGAAAATCTCCTATATCCTGCGCGCTTCCACAGCAGGAAAGGCATGGCGTCTCCGTGTGAATTCGCCTTTCGGCAATTCCGTGACTTCTTTGCGTGCATGACGGTTCCGGAACAACCGACGTACCACCTGGGTAGCACCCTCGTTGCACGCTTGAAGGCAGCATGGCCACACCGCCACGCTTGCGCACAGCCACTTATCTCACATCAAGAGTGGACTCAACCTCGACATGAACAACCCCCCCCCCGGTCGCGCCAAGAAACCCGGCGAGTGGCGTGATTCTATGGCCGCACCTATCAACCTTAACCACTTGCCAGCTGAGCGTCGTCTACCCGGCTGATATGAGAGGCTGTCTCCTTATAGTAAAGTTCTGCTTCATATGCTAGCCTTGTCTGCCCCCGCGGTCCCCACCGCTTTCGTTGTACTTTAGGGTGTGATTTTCTCCCCAACCACTACACTGAGCCTCACAGCAATCACGTTCTCTACCACCACACCTGTGTGTGCACTTGCTGCGTGTCTATCTACCGCTCATTTACTTTCCCCTCTTCAGGGGCGTGGATGCTATCGCTGCCTCCCTTTTCATGTTTATGATTCAGTGCTATCGTGCCGCCGATAACTAGACTCTCGTATACTCCCCACCGACTACGCTCTGGACAGTTCTCAGCCTCCCTTACTCCTTCCGGTCGCGTATTGTTGTTACCTACGCCACGTGTGTGTTCCTAAACTACATACCCTTTCCGCTTACACACTATTGTTGAAACCTCAATCCAGCATGTCAATATTAATGTTAGTATTAGAGTTCAGCTATGTATACATAACACAGTATCAAATGATCTTTTTATAGTCGTGACCTATAGGTAATAACATACTGACAATTTCCACCGCGGGGCAGACAAGGCGAGCATATGAAGCAGAACTTTACTATAAGGAGACAGCCTCTCATATCAGCCGGGTAGACGACGCTCAACTGGCAAGTGGTTAAGGTTGATAGGTGCGGCCATAGAATCACGCCACTCGCCGAGTTTCTTGGCGCGAGCGCGCGGGGGGGGGTGTTGTTCATGGCGAGGTTGAGTCCACTCAAGAGTGGAAGTTGATTTCAACTTACTATGATATCAGAATGTATTTTTAACCCAAAAAATTCCCGATCCGAGAATCGAACTCGGATTATTGCGTCACTGATTATCCTATAAGCACAACATTCTAACCGTTGAATTAATCGGGACATGTTAAAACTAGATATTAAATAATATAATTGTTTAATAAATGCTCACATTTGAATATACAAATCGGTCGATTCTTTGAAAACAACACGTGCACAAATAATGCACGCTTTTCATTCATTCCATGCTCGCGGCGAACACATACACCGGATTAAACGTATATAGATTTACAAATAAATCAAGTACGAATAAAAACAGGGAAATTTGCTTTGTGTACTGTTACTTGATTGTGTGAATGTTTGTTGTAAAAGTATTTACACAGTGGTGCACCTACTTGTCTATTTTACAGTACCGTAAATAGCAACCACTTATTATTCAATCGTGATATATACCAAGTATGAGGTATGTACACAACATAAAGATAACCGAAGCCAGCTCTATGCCTCAGTCAGCAATATAAATTTGCCTGTATATATCCATCTCTCAGGAGATATGATATTATATCTAAAGTGAACTTGAATCACGCGCACATGCTTAAAGCACCCACACGAAATTGTATTAGTACGTGGGTCGGAAAACAATATGCACATTTTATGTACGCA